ATCTTTGCTTATTAACAGGTGCTTCCTGGGCATCAATCCCGAAAGAGGATCGAAGACCAAGAAGCGGACCACAATGAACCCTCATATTAGCACCCTATTGAGGAAACTAATTGACTTTGAGTGGGCGTCATAGTGTTTTTTAGCAGTGGTACTTGTCAGGCTCCGTTTTGAGTAGCTTAAAAGTTAAAGTTAAAAGTTTGCACAATGTCTCTGCATTTTCTGCATTTTAAAATGGCTTTTATGAAAAAAATCTTAAAGTTGAAATTCTAAAAAAATTAATTTCTTAAATTTTTGCTGTACATTGAAACGTGTTAATAAATATGCCATTGGGCTAACATTGACTTAACCTCAGAGTTGTTTGTTGTTGAGGGGGGGGGGGGGGGGGGGGGGGGGTTACATTGTGTGTGTGTATATGTGTATATGAAGAGTTCAGATGCAAAAGCCTCTAAGTGCCATTTGAAATTTTCTTCTAGAATGATCATTTTTATCAAGCTTGTATATTTAAGTTCAGTGATTTCACTTTAATTGCAATGATATTTATCTATTAATTGTTATTTAAGTGAAATTACTGAACTTAAATATACAAGTTTGATAAAAATCATCATTAAAGAAGAAAATTTCAAATGGCATTTAGAGGCTTTTGCATCTGAACTCTTCATATGTATATATATTGTAATTCCCCAGTAATGTACTGTAATATCACAGTATTTGTCATTGAAGCTGTGAAGTTACAGTATACAGTTGTGCTTTTACAACAATGCATTGTAATATCACAGATATAAAATCACAGTAAATTGCTGTGAGCATATTTCACAGTATATTACTGTAATCCTTACTGTGAAAGTAATGCAAAATTTATCCAATTATTTAATGTAAATTCACAACGAAAATTTTAACAGTGTGGCATAAACGTCACAGAGAGAAGTCTGGGTGAATAAGGTGAATTTCAGTTTCATGCCTAGCTTGTTGGGATGCTCAAACAGAAAGATTATAGCATCGGAAAAAGAAAAAAAAATCTGATGCATTTTTGTTTGTTTACATTCACATGATTGTGAATATTACAATTCCATACAATGCAAGTCAACTAAGGAAGTTCTCTGTAAACACAAGGAGATCTCTAGTTATGCTTTCATCCTGTTAATGAATGAATGACTGCAATATTAAAATATACAACATTAAAGATATTGTCAAACATTCATGACCTCAAGGTCAGCCTCGACGATAGGGGCATCGCAGTTGGAAGTACAAAGGTGGCTTTCTTGAAGAGGAACACCTGCAGGACTCCAGTTACAGAGGAACCAGGAAATGGAATATGAGCAAATGATCAACACTAGCTAACTGTGCTCTGACCACGAACTCTGCCATGGGGAGCAATGTAACCAAAACAGTGGAAAAGTAAGTAGCTAAAAATTTGTATCTTTGAATTGTTTTAAACACACTGAGCATGATTTACAGCGTTTATCTATTCAAAATCCACAGGGTTTTTGTGACATGTGATTGTTTTATCGCAGTAGGATCTTGATGGGAGGAAACTACTTTAAATAGATTCATTTGCTTAACTAAAGAGTGTTCTGACCACTATTTATCATAATGCTAACTTTTACATATGTCATACTTTGAGAAACATTGATCCCCTTTGTCTGTTCCTAATTGATATGAAGTTTTAACACAAAAGTTGACTATTCACTTCATATCTATTGTGAAAAACTGGACTTTAGAATAATTTTAAAAAGAGTATTTAATACAGAAATCATATATTTTAAAATAATGTACTTGTGCTAAATAAATATGTTTTCTGACACAATATATGAATATTTAATATGTTATTATATATTGACTTCTTTTGTCTTTGAAATATGTTTTAAGTGTACTGATAATTATTTATGGTAAACTTAAAATATACTAAAATGTTATTTTTGCTGAAACTTGTATGCCATGTAGTTACATTTTTGTTGTTATTTCACATTTGTAATGATGAAGTTACAATTATATGTATAGCTAACTTTAAATGTAATATCATATAACATACTAGTTTTATTTGACATCACAAAGTGTACTTTTTAGGTATAGAAACACTCATGAATGTGTACTCTCTCACTGTAAAAAAATATTTATGGTTTAACTTAAAAAAGTAAGTAACCTGGTTGCCTTAAAATTTTAAGTTCATTGAACTGGAAAAAGTGAGTTAATACAATGAAGGAGATTAATTTAACCATCATAAACTCAAAATTATATGTTATCTGAACTAAATAAATTATTTAAGTTGATTTGACAAAAGAAAAAATGTTGTGATTACGACACTGTAAAAAAAAATTGTTGGTTTAACTTAAAAAAGTAAGTAACCTGGGTTGCCTTAAAATTTTAAGTTGATTGAACTGGAAAAAGTGAGTTAATACAATGAAGTAGATTAATTTAACCATCAGAAACTCTTCTAAATAAATTATTATAAAGTTGATTTGACAAAAGAAAATATGATGTGATAACAAACCTTGAAAATATTTTTTACAGTGAACTTACATTTATTTAATTAATATTAAAATAAGATTTGAGGTACCATAGAAGAACACATTCAATACTATTTAGTGCACTTCATTTTCACAAGAGATAAGTCTATCAATGATCAATTTTGTGATTTAGGGAAATACACAATAGAACTTCTCTATTTGAGTTTGTATTTGTATTTGAGTATATATTGTATTTGAGTATGTTTTTCATTCCTTAGATGGGGAATAAATCCAAAAAAACTGACACAAAAACGGACAAAAGGAGAAGGTAACAAAAAAAAATCTCAGCTACATTTATGAGATAATACAACCCCAATTCCAGAATAGTTGGGACATTTTGTAAAATGTAATAAAATCTGTTAATTCTCTTTATTAAGTTTTCACTGACCAACTTTTATTTTGTAAATATAAACAAAAATTGGTTTTGGTGGCTGCAACACACTCCAAAAACGTCGGGACTGAGGCAAAATAAAAGTGAAAAGCTTATAGAACTTTAACTTTTTTGAAACAGTCCACAATAAGAAGATGAATTAGTAATAGGTGAGGATATCGTGATCTCAGGCTTGGGTCTTCTGACCCTGACAGCCTAGCTCACTAAGGTCACTCAGGCCTGTTGCCTACGTATTATTATAGTTAAAGAATTTCCTTTACATTCCATCTTCAATCACTACAGAACAATGACAAATATTGTCTGAACCTCTTATTGAGATAAAGTACATCTTATCAGTATACATTTGAAAAAATTTCCTGGTCAGAGCTAGAACTCGACCAACTCCAACCTTGAAGAAGCTGTGTGTGTGTGTCAGTAAAGTTGTGAGGTGAGCAACTGACACGCAGGGGAGACAAACTGGAATATAAACTCATTTGTGACCTCAGTGGGTCAATAAGATTAGCTTCTTTCCTTACAGTAGTTAATCTGTGCCTTTCAACCTCATTCAACCTGACATGATAAAGTATTGTGACGTGTTAGAGTGTAATTGCTGTTGTTTTGAGAATGTAAGAGAGCAGCCTATTCAAAGTCCTTCTGAGTGTTGAAGCTGACTTCTGGTGATATAAAGGCAAACTATTCTTCAGAAAAAAATACATTCAATTGATTGCATCTCTGACCCCTGGTCTTCATTCATCATATCTGATCTTAACCGTAAATTCCCCTACAAAGGAATGCCACTTGAATCTCTTTTAGGCAAGGAGAGCACTAGCTTCCGCAGTGTTGCAAAGTCTGTGGTTTCCCTGCAGAATTGAGCTTTTAAGATGTTTCCGCGAGTTGATTTTCATTCACACCTGTAAGTACGATTTCGGCTCTTCAACACCTTGGGCTACTTTTGTTGCACAGACCAGGCAAAACTCCTTCCACACTGTCCGTCATTATTGTAAAAAATTCCGCCGTAACCTATGACGTCATTTTGATTTTCATGATAATACGCCATTTAATAGGCTCTGTTTTTGTTCACGTTTTTTTTATTCACAAAACTCCTCAGTTCGAGTGAATGCGATCATCCCTTCCTCTTTACTATGTCACAGAATGAAATAAACATGAATGAACATCAGAAAATATATTGAACGATATCGTCCAACATAGCGAAATTTGTATCATATGATGTAGGCTATTGTGGTCAGAATGAATGGCACCACTGGTAAATATGATCAAAAATGGCTGTAAAAAAATAAAGGTAACACTTTACAATAAGGTTCATTAGTTAACATTAGTTAACTACAGTTAACATGTACAATATGTGAACAATACTTCTTCAGCATTTATTAATCTTAGTTAATATTAATTCCAACATTTACTAATACGTTATTAAAATCAAAGGTTGTATTAGTTAACATTAGTTAATGGACTGTGAACTAACATGAACGCACAATGAACATCTGTATTTGTATTAACTAACATTAACAAAGATCAATAAACACTGTAACTAATGCATTGCTCATCGTTAGTTCATGTTAGTTAATGCATTTACTAATGTTAACTAATGAACCTTATTGTAAAGTGTTACCAAAATAAATCAGCATTGTTTATCCTATTGATCTTTCATTCAAAAATTGTGCAAAAATGTAACCTTTCATTTAAATAATTGAAACTGGGGGGGAAATCAGATTATGAAATAAATGTTTTGCTCCAAAACACGTTCGTTGGCCACAATTATTGGCACCACTAGAATTTTTTTACGAGTAAAATCTCCGAATAGTCCCATTCATTTTTAGCACACCAGGGTGACATGAAATTGTCCAACCATGACTTCTTGTTTCACAGGAGCTTAAATATGAGGAAACATAAAGGCCAAATTTCCTGAATCATCGATCAAAATGAGTAAAACCAAAGAATATAGTTCTAATGTGCATCAAAAGATTGTTGAGCATCACGAAATGGAAAGTGGCTGTAAGAAAATAAAGAATTGAAAATCCCCATTTTCCCCATCCCCAAGTTATAATCAACTAAAGATGTTAGGAATCTGCCAGGAAGAGGATGTGTGTCTATATTGTCTTCATGCACCATGAGGAGGAGAGTTGTTGCAGTCGTCAAAATCAACATTGCATATAGGCAGTATTACAAAATAAGTTGGTCAGCAAAAACTCTTTTCTTTGCCCTTTTGTCAGGTAAATAAAAATGTCCCAACTTTTCTGAATTTGGGTTTGTAGATTAAAAGGAAACTTTGATTATCAAGACTTGATTATCCAGTTGTTGTGATGTTGATTGTCATGTACATCTTTACAACAGGTCCACCTGTGGTTCCTCCCCATCAGGTGTGTTGATTAAACTGGACACTGCAAAATGTTACTCTTATCCGAATATATGTTAATGTTTTTGTGACGACAGCTTTTTTTTCATAGCAGGCCCGTGTTGATGTTCCTGTGTATGACTGTGTGTTAGATGAACCACAGTATGCCCAGGTGAATAAGAAACGCAAGCAGAATGACGATGGTTTACACTACGCAGACGTTCGAGTCCTACAGTCTGAAAATGCGACCAGCAGGGGAAAACTGAGACAACAGACTCCAAACAGCCACAACACAGAGTATGCAACAATAAACTTCACAACAACTACTGCAAATACGCAGACCTCAGCTAAACCTGCAGATATATTCATCCCACCTGGAGAACTACAGACACCATATACAAGGTTTTCCCATAAGAAACATGTCCACTCAAAGCGTGGAATTATGCGGTGAACAAAAAGGCAAACAAACAACAAAAAAAAAAAAATGAGCAAACATTTCTTCTCTTTAATTGTTGTACATTTTATACTGCTGTATATTGTGCCATTGAGCAAGGCATTTATGTGTGCAATTCATAGTCTCTAACGTCATGATGGATAAAATCCTTTAATTTCAGAAGCAAGTGGTTGTTTGCTTAAAAATGTTTAGCCTATTTTATTATTTCTACAAATCAATTTACAAATCACATTCCCAGCAAATTTGTGTATCTACACAGTTTCATTATTAGTGACTTCCTGTTTTACCATATTTTCCGGCTTTTCTTTTTTCTGGAAGAGGTTGTATGATGTACTATATAGTTGTTTTGTTCCAGACAAAGTTCCCTTTAATTTCCTCCTTCTGACCTCAAAGCACTGTAGTCAATCTCATGTCAGGGTTAAATGAAACAAAACAAGATGACTCACACTCTCAGAAAAAAAAGGTACAAAAGCTGTAACTGAGGCTGTACCTTTTTAAAAGGTACACTTTTGTACCCAAAGGCTGCATATTGGTACCTTAGTGGTACATATTAGCACTTAAAATGTACATATTAACACTTAAAATGTACATATTAACACTTATAATGTACATATTAGCACCTAAAATGGACATATTAGGAGCTAAAATGAACATATTAACACTTAAAATGTACATATTAACACGTCTAATGTACATATTAGCACCTAAAATGTACATATTAACACTTAAATGTACATAGTAGCACCTAAAATGTACATATTAACACCTAAAATGTACTTATTAGCACCTAAAATGTACATATTAACACTTAAAATGTACTTATTAGCACCTAAAATGTACTTATTAGCACCTACATTGTATATATTAACACATAAAATGTACATATTAAAACTTAAAATGTACCTATTAGCAAAAATGGACAAAAAGTTTACCTTTTGAAAAGGTACAGCCGCAGTGACAGCTTTTGTACCTTTTTTTTCTGAGAGCACCAATACAGTTTTAGTCATAGATAGCACTGTACATAGATGCCTCATTAGTGGCTGTGTCAATGTGCCGCTATACGTAAACCGTCTTTGGGAGTTTAAATCTCTGTTTTTTACAACCAGAAGCTGTTGTGGCTTTATGGATTCTTAGGCTGAGTCCAAAATCGCATATTCTCTTGAGTAGGTTATTTTGAAGTAATTACTTCATGACCACTTAAACTATGTTCTATATATAAATGTAATCTAGACATGCTACATTTGCCATGCTGTCATTATCATGTGACCAGCATAGATATCCATAATAAAGGCTAGATGTCTTACGGCGGAGTCTCTATCGCAAGGGGGTAATCCATCGACCCGAAGTTATTGAAGCCTCGCGGGAGCTGCCATCTTGTAGCAGAACTTCACTTGTGTTAGCATTTCCATTGACTCCCATTCATTTTTTGGCGTCACTTTGACAGCGAATAACTTTACATCTAAGGCGTTTGAAGACCCCATTTGTCCATTATTTATTTCTAAAGAAACACGACAATGTATAAAATGCTCCATTACTTTGTAGCTTATGTTATGTCCCCGTAGAAGCAGTTTTTTGTAAAGTAGGCTAACGATTGCGTCATAACCAAGCGACTCTCTGTATGAAATTACTGTATGGACAGGAGGAGAAGCTCGTGGGCAATCGGGGAAACGTGGAGGCAAAATGACAAAATAATTAATCCACTTCTTATTCTGTCTATGCTCTATCGTCGTCACCGTCGGCCATCTTGTCACAGGCAAGCTTTCTGGCAGGCTCTGCGGTACCTGATGTAAAATGAGTGATCAGCACGAACACAAATACTCTTTTATCTCGTTGAAATCTTGACGGATTTACAAATGGTTTGGTTTCTTACAAACATTATTAACATGCCTATAATTCTGGGTGATAATTTATTTATAAATTTAGGGCCTATTAGTCATAAGTACACAGTCAGTGTCATACATGTAATTACATCTCTGACGTTTATAACAAACCAAACCGTTTGGAAATCAGTAGAAAAACGAGAAAAAAGTTATGGTTATTTAAAAAGTACATGCACCATTAAAACTCAATGTTACGAGTTAGCGAGCTGCCTGCGACAAGATGGCCGCCAGCTGCGGACGTCGACCTCCATTGGCCAGCAGCGCGGACGAGACATCTAGCCTTAATTATGGATATCTATGGTGACCAGTATCAGTTGTCCATGCCATTCATAAATCCTCTCCTGTGGCTTCTGGGAATAATAAATTGTCCATCGTACACACACTTCATAATAACGCCGAAAGTAGTAGGTCATCCGGGTTCTTTTTGCCCACTCTTTTATGAGCACTCTGTCTTCAGACATACTTCTTTTGTCACATAGGCTACTGTTTTTCAGCTACTATACAAGTAGGGGTATGCGCCTTCGGATGCATGCTTACTGCTACATTCCAAGATGGCGGGGATGCCCACGTGTCTGGAGCTGTCGATTGTGGAATCTACGGATATATTTCTATATCTATCTAACTTGGAAATACATCATGGCCCCATTTAAGATGGTGTTTGTCAGTCTGTTCCAACTTTACAAGTTGAAGTGTCCAACCTTCAACGCAGTTATTTTAAAATAGGGGTGGAAATTTTGATTTCCAAGTTGTGAAAAACACAGCATTACTGTGTCTACCACCAGCAAGGGCTAGGATCATGCTTATGAATGACATTCCATGTTCTTTGTACGCATTAGATCTATTCCCCATAAAATATTAGCACGTCAGGCCTTCAGTTAGGCTATAACGTATTAAATAGCTTTCTATTGCTGTGTCTTAGAATACCATGTCACTCACTTGAAGTAGAATGGCATAATACTGTAAAGCTGCTCAGATTGTAGTTCCACAACCCTGGAATAGAAATCAGAGCCATGGGTAGCTTTTGTTATATGGTTGGTTATGGTATGACTGTAGGCTATGTGATTTATGTTGTAAAACGATAAATTGCAACCAAAACAGGTTCTTGAGGTAACATGGGAAATGCCATGTTCAGTATTTAATATTCAATCACAATATTCAATAGCCTACTGATTGAATCTATGTTATGTTTTTTCTTTTGGACTCCAAACAGTGAGCGAAATTACTCAAATCTACCTCCAAGTTTGAACGACTTTCTATGAAATACAAATATATTGGGTCATTATGCCCTCTGTTGGTCAAAGATAACATAACACTGATTTTGTTAGTTTTTCAGTTTTCTTTTGTGACAATTAAATGCCATTAAATGTTGAGAAGATGAGTAGAGGTGAATATGTAGGCTATGCATATGACTGTAGCCTACATGGAAATGTTATTGTTTTACTTTTATTTTTTATGCATATTGTTATATTGTGTCGGTGTGCTGTGTGGTGTATAAAGCCAAAGACAAATTTCCACTTGTGGACTATGAGAACCTTTGAGGGAAAATCTTTACTCACTAAATTTACAACTAATAAAGAATTGAATCAGCGAACTAAAGTTTAAAATTAGCTTATCATTATTATATTACGTTATATAACAACTCAAGGGCCTCATAACTATAAAAACGTTAACTGATTAACATAAACATACAACACACAACATGTGATTTTCATTCTCTGTCCTTTTTAATCCAGCTTCTTTCAGGAATTAATTAATCCAATTAAATTGTGAAGTTTTTATTCATTTTTGATTAAAGGAAATAACAGTTGACTACTTTTCAAAAAACAACGAAAGTGTTGCCATTCCGTTATGTTTTTGTATGTTTTTATTTTTTTTTTCTTAATGTGTGAATCGAATGTTCTTTAATATCTTTGAATATGACAAATGATGCTTTGGAATCATTTAGAACATTATTTGAAACGTTCTATGTTTCTATTATTTCATGTAAAATTCTGTAAATTAAAAAAAAAAAAACAGTAATGAAAGTGTCGCCATTAAAATTGTCCAATAGATATGAACCTAAGTTCATGCAATAGCCAATGGCAACACGCTTTACAGCTGCACGAATGACGGAAGTCGTCACTGTTTGTCACAAATATTCTGACGATTAGGTATTTTTGTATTATTTATTTATTTTAACTATCTGCGTTGAATGTATAACATAGTTTAATTCATCGACTTTAATAATAAGCTAGTTAAGTGTGTAGCCAGTTTGCACTGGTAATCCGCTCATCAGTCTGTAGTGTCGCCGGAAATGACTTTTACTGGTTTAAAGAGATCACATCCGACCTGTGCATCATGGAGATGAATCGGCGAGTATTAGTGATATAACAACACACTCTCGCCGCCGGAGACGTGATTTAGCCAGGACTGACCTTTGTGAGGAGGGCCGAAATACAGGTACTGCTATGTTAAACATGTCTGACTTACTCTTAATTCATTTGTATTCGTTTCGGGGGCCTTTAAAAGCCTGATATGCATGAGTAGCTTGTTCATTGACGTCATTATGCATAGCACCTACAAATAAATAAAAACATGAATTATGTGCAAAAGGCCATCTAGTAACGTGTTTAATTAGTGTGATGGTATTTTGGATGAAACCAGCTCAGTTTCATTTAATTATTCCGCACACAATTATTTCAGCTGATGGATATGTGTATATGAAGTGAAATGTATATCCACGTATAGACAGTTCAGTGTGTATGATTGTGCGGTTATTCGGAGTTTCGGACAAAGAAATTGCTATTACTACAGTAAAACAGCTGAAATGGGCGTCTGATAGGTTTCTGTATTTATTGACCACTGAATATATCATGAAATAAGCATGCTTACAAAATAAAATAACTGGATATAAGATAACATTTTAGCCATTTTAGAAAGTTTCACTAAAAGAATGAAACACATGTTACTACCATGTATATGTTTTGCATTAAATGATTAGTGGTATATGGTTGTATTACCATCTTTTGTATCATGTAAACATCATGGTATATAAATATGATTATTACTCGGTGCCATGGTATTACATAGAGACATTTGTAAATACCATGGCATATATAGTATTGACCAAAAGTTTGGAAACATTACTATTTTTAATGCTTTTTTTTATTTTTTATTTTTTTAAATAAATCTCTTATGCTCACTAAGCCTGCATTGATTTGAAAATGATGGTTTTATATTTTAAAATACTTTGAAATATAATTATTTCTGTGATGCAAAGCTCAATTTTCAGCATCTTCAATGACCCGTGATCCTTCAGAAATCAGTCGAATATGATGATTTAGTATCAATGTTGAAAACAGCTGTGCTTCTTATTATATTTTTAAAATCTGTGATACTTTTTTCAGGATTCTTTGAGTAAAAAGAACACAAACTACCATTCAAAAATTTGAGGTCAGATTTTTTTTTCTTTCTTTTTTGGAAGAGATTTTAGAAAAGAAAATCTTTTCTATTGTTAGAAAAGATCTCTATTTTTGAATAAATGCTGTTCTTTTTAACACTTTATTCATCAATAAATCCTGAAAAAAGGTATCACAGGTTTCACACACACACAAAAAAATAGAAATTAAGCAGCACAATTGTTTACAACATTGATAATAACAGTTATTGAGTATCAAATCAGCATGTTTCTGAAGGATCATGGGACACTGAAGACTGGAGTAATGGTTGATGAAAATTGAGCTTTACCATCACAGAAATAAAATGTAAAGTCTATTAAAATAGAAAAACATTATTTTAAATTGAAAAAAAAATCCTTTTTTATTGTGGTGGCAAACCATTTTACTTCACTGAATAAGAGACAAACATGATCAATTGTCTTTAAAGGTTATTTATTTTCTAGCAAGAAAAGGCATACAGAGTGTGGCAGAGAAGGGAGGGCATTCTTTCTTCTTAGTTGACTCCCTCTATGTCATTATATCCTTACAACAACATGTCCCGTAACTAACATAGTGTTGCATCCAACTACTAATGTGTTAAAGGCCTTTTCTCTCAGCCATACAGAGTCACACATTACATTTTGTCATTATGTTATATTACATATTACAAGTCACGTATACAAGGTCATACACATACATACACAGATAAGGGTTGATAGTTCTTTGTTCCATCAATGTAGCAGAGAATGGGACTCCATATGCAATCCTTGTTCTTAATATAATTATTATTAATATAGGAAAATGCACTTAATCTGTTACCTCATCTCATCCCATCAGTTCCGTGAAAGATGTTGTCCAATATTCTGGCTGAGCAGAAAGGGGCAGATCAGGTGCCTGCGTCTGCGGCTGGCCCGTGCCATCGTGCTCCTCAGTCTTCGCTGTATCAGGAGCAGCTGGCCAAAGGATGCAGAGAAACCAGCAGGGAGGAGACTGAATCTGGAGACAGACCTCAGCCCTCAGACTTTGAGAAAGGAATGAATGAAGGAACTTTGAGACAGATGTCGTTTGATCCAACAGTCAAAAGACAGGAGTCGTTTGGAGTCAATCCTAGTGCGATTTGCATACACATGTGTACTCAGCAAGGTAATGTTGAATATATGTGGTAAAATCTGAAATGTTCCCTCTTCAGTTTAGCAAATTCTTTTGCTACCTGAGCAGAAACACTGTCATTTTTGTTTTTAAATTATATAAGTTTAAACAGTCTCTTATGTTCACTAAGGCTGGATTTATTTGATTAAAAATACAGTAAATTATGAAATATTACAATTGAATTTTTTATATATATATATTTTCAGCTGTTACTTCAGTCTTCAGTGTCACATGTTCCTTTAGAAAACATTCTAATATGCTGAATTAGATTTTTGAAAACCATTGTGCTGCTTAGTATTTCTGTGGAAACTGATGCATTTTTTTTCACGATTCATTGATGAAGTGCAACATTGTAAATGTCTTTATAGTCTTTGATTAAAACATAGTCTTTATAGTGTTTGAATTAAGTCTTTTTATCAATTTAATGCATTTGTTCTGAATCAAAGTATTCATTTCTTTTAATAAAGCAAATATTTAGGTAATATGCCAGAATTATAGTTCTTGGATAGTTTTTAAGTAACTTTTGTCAAGATTTGTTATTTTTTGTCATATTAATCTTGTTGAAACAAAATATATCACTTAGACTAATATAAATACTTACAATAATATAATCCCAGAGTATAACATAAATAAGAATACAATTAGCATACAATTTAGCTTTTTTTTTTCCATGAAATCTCTTGCTAACTTTGATTTTTTCCTTTTTTTTTTTTTTTTTGGTGCTGTACAGGAGTAACTTCAGAAGTGTGCACACATTTGTCTTAGTCAGAACATTGCAGATCTGTAACGTGAAAGACTTGGTTCCATAGGAATCAATAAATGCTTTGGTATCGTCTAAGAGTGAAGATATTGCTTTTACGAAGCACTGCTTTTGATCAACATCTCTTTTGCAGAGGGCAAGTTCAGGGATACACGACCAGCAGGACCATCAGGAGAGCAGCTTGGAGTTCTGGAACGAATTCTTGTGTCCCATCAAACTGAGATGAAACGTGTACTGACTGATACCTTCGGATCTCTGACCCAACGTCTCGAGGCTGTGGAGAGGAGGATGGACCAGTTGTGTTCACAAAGCAGTGCACATGCATGCAGTTTAGCTCAGCTGCACAGTAAAGTTGGCCAGCTGGGAAGAGACTTGTCCTTTTGCTGTCCAAATACAATTTCATCAGATTACAGTTTTGGTAAATGTTTATTTATGTTTGCATATTGATATGTTTAAATGAATTATTGTATAATTTGACTAAATTAACCCAAGAAATACTGGAATTTGTTGACATACTCACCTAAAGGATTATTAGGAACACCATACTAATACTGTGTTAGACCCCCTTTCGTCTTCAGAACTGCCTTAATTCTACGTGGCATTGATTCAACAAGGTGCTGAAAGTATTCTTTAGAAATGTTGGGCCATATTGATTGGATAGCATCTTGCAGTTGATGGACATTTGTGGGCTGCACATCCAGGGCACAAAGCTCCCGTTCCACCACATCCCAAAGATGCTCTATTGGGTTGAGATCTGGTGACTGTGGGGGCCATTTTAGTACAGTGAACTCATTGTCATGTTCAAGAAACCAATTTGAAATGATTCAAGCTTTGTGACATGGTGTATTATCCTACTGAAAGTAGACATCAGAGGATGGGTACATGGTGGCCATAAAGGGATGGAGATGGTCAGAAACAATGCTCAGGTAGGCCGTGGCATTTAAACGATGCCCAATTGGCACTAAGGGGCCTAAAGTGTGCCAAGAAAACATCCCCCACACTATTACACCACCACCAGCAGCCTGCACAGTGGTAACAAGGCATGATGGATCCATGTTCTCATTCTGTTTACGCCAAATTCTGACTCTAACATCTGAATGTCTCAACAGAAATCGAGACTCATTAGACCAGGCAACATTTTTCAATACAGTCTTCAACTGTCCAATTTTGGTGAGCTCTTGCCAATTGTAGCCTCTTTTTCCTATTTGTAGTGGAGATGAGTGGTACCTGGTGGGGTCTTCTGTTGTTGTAGCTCATCCACCTCAAGGTTGTGTGTGTTGTGGCTTCACAAATGCTTTGCTGAATACCTCGGTTGTAACGAGTGGTTATTTCAGTCAAAGTTGGTCTTCTATCAGCTTGAACCAGTTGGCCCATTCTCCTCTGACCTCTAGCATCAACAAGGCATTACCACCCTCTGTACTGCCGCATACTGGATGTTTTTCCCTTTTTACACCATCCTTTGTAAACCCTAGAAATGGTTGTGCGTGAAAATCTGAGCAGATTGTGAAATACTCAGACTGGCCCGTCTGGCACCAACAAACATGCCACGCTCAAAATTGCTTAAATCACTTTCTTTCCCATTGTGCCATTGAGTTTGGAGTTCAGGAGATTGTCTTGACCAGGACCACACCTCTAAATGCATTGAAGCAACTGCCATGTGATTGGTTGATTAGATAATTGCATTAATAAGAAATTGAACAGGTGTTCCTAATAATCCTTTAGGTGAGTGTATTCTGTTGTAACAAGAAATTGGGATGAGACCTATTAATTTAAATGGCCAATAGCATTTAGTTTGTTACATTCTCGGGCCATGATATGCTATTTCTTGTCATGGTCAGGTGTGCCATGGTTCTCGTGCTGGATTTTTGCCCATTTTATTGGGCAAAAATTGGGTCTGCCACTGAGTGCATCATTATTAACATATTGATTTAACTTGAATTATTGTGTTTTTGCAGTAGACGCAGAAGTGCCAAAAGACAACAAAGGAATCATCCCAAATGTCTCCTCTTCTGGGCCACAGTCTCTTTATAGATCACCTGAATCAAAAAAGGACCCTGTGTGTTCATGGGCAATGTCAACTCTCGCTCATAAGCCCGAGGACCTAAGCTGTCAGGGTCTAGGTGGGAATCGCAGTGGCTCCAGTTCATCATGTGGAAACCTAAAAACGTGCTCTTCTGCAAAAACCGACAATTGTTTGCAGGGTAACTACTCACCCGTTTCAGATTTTGAAGACCTGGAAATGGAGCTGGAAGCTGAGAAGGACAGAGTCGCCTTAAGCTTATTGGTCGATTCTGTGCTCAGCTGCTCAGATGACAATGACAGCCGAAGACTTTCTTGTAAACGGGAAGACCTGTCCTCTAATAGTGTGGGAAATAATAAATCTGATCAGAAGGAAGAAGACCTCTTGAAAAATCAGTGTTTACATGTTCCTGAACACCCCCGGGTGCCTTCCGTTCAGTTTTTCAAATCTTCAGCTCCTAGTGGCGCAAAGTCATATTCAAATACAGATCTTCTTTTTTCGTTCGCAAAAGAAATAGATCCAAAGCCCCCTGGGAAACCAGCGGCATTGACAAAATCCAGTAATGATGAGAGTGAAAATAGTCAGCAGCAGCATCAGATTACCTTCCCTTTGTCCAATAAGCCACTTGGAGCACTACCCAACCCTGATAAACCCAAGGGCTGTTCAGTTCTCTTTCAGACTTCTAACAAGAAAGAGAATGAAATCTTGCACAAGATTGAAATGAATGGTGTTTTTCACTCAACCACTACCTCATTGAGTAATAGTACTTCAGTCTTGAATCACATCCCAATGTCAAGGGATGTAGATGGACTGACAGGGACAAATGCTCGAGATTCTGTAGAGAGCACACATATAAGTAGGAAAGAACAAAGCATTGATTGTCAGTTATCATACTCAAAGGATAGCCCTTTAAATATATCTTTTCAAGGGTCATCAATCCTGCCAGACTGTAAACTTGCTTTACCAAACCAATTGGTAAAAGATGTAGGTGACCAAAAGTCACTAGGTTCGCTTTTGACATTTCATCAAGCACACTCCAGTTCCCATCTCCCGGGCCCAAGAAATGGGTCCTCCAAACCATTAGTAGACAGTGACACTAACAAACTGTTAGATCAGCTCTCGAACACTGCCCACCGCTTGGCATCCAGTAGCTGTTCCTCAAACGACATAAACAGATGGACTGGTTACAGCAGAACTGGATCCAAGCTCAAACTCAGTGGTGGAAAGAAACATGACCTTCCTGGATTTCCCTCTCTTAAAGTTGGAGAAACCCATTCTTTGTCCTCTCTCGAGCAGGGAGGAGAGATATCCAACAACTGGCAGCCGATACTTGAGGATACGATGTCTGCTGTCTCTCCTTGGTTGACTGGTACATCAGATTGTCCTTCAATTGCTTTACCGATCAACCTGGATAAAGACTTTGCAGGTTGTCCCGACTTATCTCAACTTCTTCGGCCTGCTACTCCGCCTTTGTCTACTTTAAGCAAGGGGAGTTTCTCTGGGGCGGGTGTTAGTACCTTCCTGGCTTTATCTTCTCCAACATCCTTCAGACTGTGGTTTCGACACAGAAGGCTCAACTTTCCTCTCATGCAGTTGTCACGTCCTAGTATCCATGTGGTTGTGAGTCGGATTTTGGGGCAGTGCAAGTTTCATCCTTTTCGAGCTCTGGTTGACTTCACAGCCCCACCAGGCGTAGACAACGATCACCAGTAAGTTCAAACTATTGAAGTTTGAAGGTTTTTTGCATGTTTTGATGGCAAAGATAATCAGACATAATCAGAAATGATTGTCAGTTTTGACTTGCATGCTGCTTGCACTTACAATTTTACCCGTTTTTTGATTACATTTTTTTTGTTGATAGCTATACACGACGATCCAGTCAAGAAGCTACACCAAGCAGGAAAAGAGCTTCAGCACGGTGGGCATATCCCCCTGCATCTCTTGCCATTTAGCTGACCTAATCCTTGAAATCTTTTAATCAGTCTTTGCTTGCCAGTTACGATTCAGGTTAAAGGTGAAGTGCATAATTTCAGCACAACTAGCAACACGAATAGCAGAAAAGCTTTCCAAACCTGTAGAAGTCTAGAGTGGCCTGGCATCTTTATTATGTTTGTCTTGTTTCATTCAAACTCCTGCACCTGTGAACAGGGATGACACTGATTCCCTCTTCATTGTTGCTCTGTTGATTCATTCCTTGCACCTTGTGAGTGGGTAAAGTTGCACCAAATCTACTTCTACAAACTTTGGTGCATTTTTACTACAGACATGAATGACAAGGTTGTGCAGCTAGGTGTGTTTGATCTATCCTGCTACTTTTTTCTAAATGATTGAATGCACAATTTTCACCCAGCAACCCTTGAAATGGTTAGGGGGAAAAAAACATTGGAGTTCAGACCAGGCCAAATGTTCAGACAAAGAAATAAAAACTTGAGGCTGGGTTCTTTTGGGGTTGTAAGCAACCACCCACAACATCCTAGCAACTGCATAGCAACACCCTGGTATACAGCCAGAACACCCTGTCCTAACCAGATGCAATGCGAAAAGACTTGAGCAACAAACAATTTGTATGTCCACAACAGACAAGACTTATCAACAAGATGTGACTAAATTAATTACAAATTACAGTCAATCAGAAGAGCATTTGGTTGCTTTCTCTCTCTCTCTCTCTCTGCAAGCACACTGCTGTCTCACTCTCCCAATAAAATAGAGAACAGAACTAGATAATCAAATTAATAATAAAATAATTTCACTATTCTAAATACATACTCAGTTACTGATACTATCTTTGTCATGATGAAATTAAGGATATACCATATGAAAAATTTGTCCAAAACTGAGTATTATTTACATTTTAAAGCCGATAACCGATAAATTGGCCGATAAATCTAAATTTGATATAATTTGAGAGCCCGACTGCAAAAATAAAAGTGTCACCATTAAAACGCATGTCCCGAGCACACAATTATAATGTTCTCATTATAATTTTATGTAGCCTATATGACAAACTTGCGCTGCACATGTTGCACTTAACTGTATTTTCCTTTTTGTAGTGATTTCAATTATATTTCAAGCAATTTAATTGGGAACAGCGCACATCTGAAGTGTCTCAGCTGAAGGAAATAATCCATTATTCAGTGTTGTAGTCGAGACCACCTCACTCGAGTCCGAGTCGAGACCGAGACCAGAGAGAGTTGAGTCCGAGTCAAGACAGAGTCCATAGAGAGTCGAGTCCGAGACCAGAGACGGTCGAGTCCGAGTCGAGACCGAGACCAGTGAGGGTTGATTACCTAATTTACTTTTATTTACTTAGAGAAATCCTTTCTTTTTTACTGAATTTACTTAGAGTTTAAAAAAATATGATCAGTTTAGGGTAAAAAGGCCACATAGTAGGTGGTGTTAAAAGTAATTTTATTACAATTTGTCATGCGCAGTTGCGCACTAGAAAATCGCCAATCACTGGGCGTCAATCAATTTAAAGAAATATTCTATTAACATACATTAATAATCATGAAAAATATTTTGAATTGAACTCGAGTGGACTCGGGAATAAGTCTGAGTCCTAAAAAAAAAAATGTTCGAGTACGAGTCAATTCCGAGTCCAAATGCACACGAGTCCATGACAAGACCAAGACCATTAAAATATGGTCTCGAGACCGAGTCCGAGTCTCGAGTACTACAACACTGCCATTATTTATCGGCTTCAATATATCAGGCCGATAACAATATGGTTGCTGATATATTGTGAATCCCTACATGAAATGCAGTTTAGTTTGACCGTTCTTGTTTCCTAAGGTATTTTTGAGATCTGAGGTAAATAATTAATTATCTTTTATGGCTGTTAAAGTCGAGCAAAACTATATTTAAACTCCAATTAAACATGTCTTGATACCAGAACACAGTCGATACCTGAGATGTCAGTCGCAGAAATAGAAATGATTCCAAAAATGGAATCTCCTCTTGTCGCCGTCATGGCTGGTTAGGACACAAACTCTGATATCCACGGAAAAGATGGCTTTATTATGTTGCGATGTTTTGTCACATCTGGTTAGGACACAGCAGATGCATAGCACAGCACTCACATTTTCTTTGGAAAATGTGAAAATCTAGTCACATTTTTCTAGCGATATGCTAGCTTCTAGCAGTTTGGTGCTGCTAGTAGTGCAGAAATTACTCTCGCTTCACCTTAAGTATTGTTCATTCTATTATTATATTTGAAGCATGAAGCCAGACCAATTTTACAAACCACAGCTAAACTGATCATTTTATGTAGATGTTGACTGATGTTATATTAGCAATCATCTGGAATTCTCTGAAATGCTTGTTTCTTTCACTGTGTGTAGGAAGGCCATCTCATCTTCATCAGTGTGTCATCTGTCAAAAATTCGTCTCACACCAGAAAGAAGTCTGGATCACCCCTCATGGCACAACATCAGCCCCAAGTCGATTGTGCGATTGGATGGATCCGCCACTGAATCTGTGCCTAGTTTTGCTATTGTCAGTGCAAATGTCAAATACCCTGGTTTGCATAGTCGAGGAGCATCTAGAGAAATCATACAGGTATTATATTATCTCTTCTATAATTTGAACAAATTATTTTGAATAAGTAAAATGCAAGTTGGCAAATAAACTCACCGGCCACTTTATTAGGTACACCTTGCTAGTACCCTTTTTACCTTCAGAACTACCTAAATTCTTCGTGACCGATTCAACGAAGTGCTGGAAACATTCCTCAGAGGTTTTGGTCCATATGGACCCTTTTCACAGACTAATGACGCGTTTAACGGTCATCAGCATCGTAAATTTAAGTTTTTTTATATTATGTACATTTATACCACCATACTTTGTATTTTATTAGCTTTCCCTTAAATTGGTAATGATGGTCAAATTGACATTTCTCTCCTCTGACTGCAGTTATTAATCTCTCTATTTTTTCCCCCTCTTTTGAAATTTGTGGAAACACCATTGTGGAGTATTTCTTTTGCTATTTGACCAAATGGGAACACTAAAAATATATTTAATGTAGTCTCTCATTCACCACTATAAAAGTTTACCCATAAAAGACTTCCGCTTCTGAGAAACCCGGAAATGTGAAAAGTGTCGATTGACATGATGGCATATCGCAGATTTGTTATCTGCACATTCGTGATGCGAAACTAGATCTGCAGTTTCTGAAATAATCAAATAATGGCACCAACAACATGCCTCGTACAAAGTCATTTAAATCCATCCTTTCCTCTCAATTCTGATGCACAGTTTGAACTTAAGAAGATCGTCTTAACCATGTCTAAATGCATTGAGTTGATGCCATATGATTGGCTGATTAGATATTTGCGTTAACGAGCTGTTAAACAGGTGTAGCTAATAAAGTGGGTGTAGTTTTGGATACAGAGATTGCTGAAGTGAAAGAGTTAGGTTTTGTTTTTCCTCAAGGCTCGACATTCTTCTCTTGTAGGTGGGACTCTACGATACTAACGCTGAAGCTCAAGCGGGTCAACGTTCCAAAAGGGTCTCCCAAATTCGTATTCGTAAGACGGTTCCCAAACCAGATAACAACCTTACTCCAATGGGACTCCCCAAACCAAAGAGGTGAGCAATTTTAGTCTTTCTAATATGATAATGTGGAATCTAAATGGAACTGTCCAATATGTAAATATTTATCAGCATTTCGACTATTTTCTTCATATCTCTTATATTAATCGGTGGATTAGCTTTGAAATAAGTGTTGGTTTTTAAAAATTATTTATAAGTATTTTATTCAGAGGAACTCATTTCGACCAAGCAGCCTTTGCAAAAATCATGCAAGAAGTAATATGCAGTAAAAAAAAATAAGGCTGTTAAATAATAATAATGTGATTACAGTAATAATGTAGCTACTAAAACGCTAAGGCATATACAATTTTAAAGGGGTCATGAACTGGCTTTTAAAATTTTAAAGTTCTGAAACTTACAGGATATTCTTATAATATGATGACCTCTTAGATGTCAAAAGCTCAAGGAAAATTTGATTTCTCAGTTCACCACCCCTTTAAACACAGACTTCAATTAACATATTTGTGCGATGACAAACGAATCTGAAATCTTGAAAATCCAAGTTTGCAAATTTTATCAGCAGTGTTGCTACCTAAATCTCTCTTTCTTTAGTGCTTTCATATTTGGGTCACAACACAACGCATCACAAAACGCAAATTGTTTTTTATGAAACTTTCAGTCCTTAATATAGTTTTGTTCACACACAGTTCAGTTATTTACTGGAGTGACATCCACATTATATAACCGAACATTTTCAGGACTCACAACTGCATTCTTGGAACTGGACTGGACAACTAGTTTCCTGTCATTATGTCAAACAGTGCGAGGGAGCTGAGAGAGCAGAGTTGCACAATTGCGTGTCTTCTATGTGTTGCTGGTTTTCGTGTGTGGATTTTGTAACTTACCGCGACGGTGTGTCACTGTCATATTAAGGTTTTATATCCAGTCACTGCACTGTTCTCTGGTGCAGTTTTGTGTACTACGCGCGACTCAAAATCTCAGATTTCCACACAGATATAAAAGCTGTTGTCGGTTAATGAAGATTTGACTGAACTCGCAGATTGGACTATTGTTGTCAATCAGGTTTTTTTCAGTTTGATGGATGTCACCATCTTTGATATTACTTTGGTCACTGTCACTGTTGTGACTAGTAAGAGAATACGGGCTTGACTCCCATTGCACGTTCATTCAGACCATATAATCGAGATGGTAACGGTAACTGTTTGAATGGGATATTTCGAAACTCACAGCTGTAAGTAAATTTGGTTGTCAATCCCAAAAACTGACCGTGTGAATGTAGCCTTAATGTGAATTAAAAGTGCTAAAATATCATTTTGATATGATATCATAGGAGACCATCACAAGACCAAGTCCATTTTGTGTTAAGACTAAGGCTGTGAAATTGCTTCCTAACCCTCATTTACTATTCTCTACATTAATCCGCTAATATAGTTCACTTGAGGGAGTGAATGAAAACGAGTGAGCAAATTCAGACACTGAGTGCGCCGGATAGTTTGTGCTTGCTGTTTAATAATTATTTGAAACTTGGCAAACTGGCAGCTCCAGTAGTAATGAAAGTATTACTCTTGAACTAAGTCGCATTAAAACAATTTAATTATTACTTTAAAAATAATTTGTACTTGTTTGAGGTTGTAACCACATTGGCCCAGCGGTTTGGAAAATGATGGATACGCTGCGAGAACCATCATCTGGCCAGATTCGGGTATTAATCCGGCATGCGATGCGACTCTCACAGTGCATTATGGGTATTCTCTAGCCGTTAAGTACTCTCGATAACGTCCACTATGGTTTTGGATGCCACTACAAATGAACATCAAATAGCGCCTCGTTTAAGGGTATAGGGGGTGATTTCAGACACAGCCCAAGACAAGACCAAAACTTTGATGGGTTGAGAGTGTTGAGACCAGACAAGACCAAGGCAGGGAGAGACAATACCATGATGACCAGACCAGCACTCTTCAAATTCATCTAAAAGATCTACAATATCAAAGAAATGTCTTATATTTAATGCATAAATACAATTAGATAGGACACTATCAAATGAAATCAATAACAACTTAGTCTGAGACAGAGATAAGACCGAGTACAAATGCAACCCAGACCGAGACTTAAAGGAGTAGTTCACTTTAAAAAAAACTTTTGCTGATAATTTACTTTCTTCAGTCGAAAAGAAATTAAGGCTTTTGATGAAAACATTCCAGGATTTTTCTTCATATAATGGACTACAATGGGAACCAAACTGTTCAATGTCCAAATGAGAGTTTCAGTGCAGCTTCAAAGGGCTTTAAATGACACCAGACGATGAATAAGGGTCTTATCTAGTGAAACGATCACTCATTTAAAAAAAAAAAAAACAAAGTTTAAGTTTTATAAGCTCAAACGGTCGCCTTGCTCTGTTCTGTGATGTATGTTCGTGACTCTCCTGTTCGAACTCGTTCATCAAAATGAACAAATCTTTTTCGTGTCATTTGGTTCATTCAACGAACGAAATGAACAAGTTGACTCGGGAAAAGATTCGTTAATTTTGATGGCCGAGTTAGGACAGGAGAGTCACGAACGCGCATCACACCCTAACCCTAACAGAGCAAGTCGACCATTTGAGCTTATAAAACTTAAACTTTTTTTTTTTTAAATGAGCAATCATTTCGCTTGATAAGACCCTTATTCATCGTCTGGAATCGTTTAAAGCCATTTGAAGCTGCACTGAAACTCTCATTTGGACTTTGAACCGTTTGGTTCCCATTGAAGTCCATTATATGGAGAAAAATCCTGGAATGTTTTTATCCAAAACCTTAAAATTTCTTTTCGACTGAAGAAAGAATGATATGGACACCTTGGATGACATAGGGGTGAGTAAATTATCAGCAAAAGTTTTTTTTAAAGTGAGCTACTCCTTTAAAGGCAGGGTAGGTAGAAATTTTCTAAAAAACTTATCCCCAAATTTGTCTACACTGTCTATGTATACCAATACATAATTAAAATGTAATTTTAATGAGTGTCTGTAGTCCTCTCAGTGCTGCAATAAACACAGCTCATTATTTCCAACCGGGACGAAAGAAATGATCGGCTGGGTGACCGTCACTCTTCCTCGCTACCAGCACTGCCGCGTAAGAGCAGCCCACATGCAAGCACACGTTTGCTTGAGGAGTGGAAGAGGCACGGAAGCTAGGAAGAATCACAATTATGGCAGAGAAAGAGCAGTCAAAATTCCCAGTTACCTGCATATACAGTCAGCGAAGGAAAAAAATTAAGACAGTATTTGAAAAGGCTATGACCAAAAAGTCTTTGGATAAAGCAAGAAGTCAGACGAGAGTCAATATCGGTGGGGCTTTCCAGCCGTAGCGACAACTGACAACCAGGGGCTGAAAAGTGACCAACAGTGCTTTCGTGGGAGCTCTTACATGTAAAACACCATATATGTTATGAATCTTACATGAAATTCACCTTCATCACAGTGTAACTGATGGTGACGGGAAAATATGTATCAATGCAACCTGTTTTTAGTTTTGCTGTTTTTAGTTTTTATGTTACTAGCTCGTTACCGAATCAAACTCAATATATTTGAAGCTTTACCATTACCAGTATTGATATGCTAGCTTGATAGTGAGTACTACCAGACATGCTAGTTGTTTATATTAATAATGATAAAGTTAGGCATTTTATCAGTAGGGGTTCAATCTTCAACTGGCTGGCAGGAGTTCATGTGTTTTAGGGGCTTTTGTAAGGATCCCAGACGGGAGGGTGTGGGAGTGAATGAAAAATCGAGTGTACGTATGTAGTCCCCTCAGTGCTGCAATAAACACAGCTCATTATTTCAGAGTACTTTTTAATTATGTAATTTGGTAGTAGTATATATATATAGACAGTTCAAAACAAATTTGGGAAAAAGTTGTTTTAGAAAATTTCTACCTACCCCACCTTTAAAGAGCCCCTATCATAGCATTTGAAATGTTCCTATTTTTGTTTTAGGAGTTCCCAAAAACAGTTTAACATGCATGCAAGGATAAACACTTTATTTTTCTTATAATATGCATTTATTTTTAACTGATTTGCTCACCGACTCCCAAATGATTCGTACAACGACTCATTTTTCCAAACCACTCCTTTGCGTGAGGCTAATCGGCGGTGATTGGTCAGATGACAGACCCAGTCAGTTGTTTGTTAGCATAACGCATAAACATATTGATAAAGCACTGCAGTACTACAAGACGCTCTATTCTTTATGACAACTCCAATAACAGCGACAAACATTTCACATATTTAAAAAAAAAATGACATTGGAGACCTAGAAGCTGCGCTGAGCGTAACTTACACACACACACACACACAGATACACGCGCACACACATACTGCCTCGCGTCCCGACGCTACAAAACCGTTCAAAACCCATAAAAGCAACAATTATTAATAATACTTACAGGTTGTGATTCGAAGGAGGAAGCTGATCCATATACGCTGGGTAAGTAAGTTACTGAGCCCTCCTTCAGGAACAACCGCTTGCGAATCCACATTTTGAATTCATAATTAAAATGATGAGAACACAATCGGGATATACTGTTGTGGTATCATTGCAAATATGAACTCTAACCACCGATTCTTCACATGCTCGTCCCTGGTAAATGAAAACAAAGTGGCTGAACTATCTTTGCATTGTAGAACACAGCGTCTTCTCGACATGATGCTATGATGAAGTATTTGAATGTGTAGACTTCAAGTTTACACTTCCGTCTGCGCGCGCAGTAACTGGGCGCGGCCAGTATGTATCTACGTCACTACGAACCAGCTAATGACTCGTTTCAAAAACAATTCATGTCATAGACTCCGAGTCGACTCTCACTTTTGAAAGACAATAACTTTATATACGGTGCACTTTCAGATATAAATCTTTGCAGGATGTTTTCATTCCCTTAGAGCTATATTCCACACCATATGAACAGTCATTTTCAAAAATCCATGATAGGGGCTCTTTAAGACTGGTCTTGAGTATTACACTAAATCATAGTGTTAATAAAACATTGATTTATATGTCATAAATTAGTTTTAATGTCCTGCTGATTGCTGTGTTGTGTCCCATAAGGCTGAAGAAAAAGGAATTCAGTTTGGAGGAGATTTATACCAATAAGAATTACAAGTCTCCATTACCCAACAGGTTTGTTTTTTCGATTTATTTTTACCCTTGTGTTTTCCTGGAAAACGATTTCTGATTGTTCCATTCATTTACACAGAAGTCTGGAGACGATATTTGAAGAACCGAAAGAGAAGAACGGCTCTCTGATCTGCATTGGTCATCAGAAACGAAAGCGAGTTTTAGACTTCCCCGATTTCACGCTGCCACGGAAACGCAAGGCTAAAACTAACCTGGGTCCGCTGCGTGCGAAGGTGCCGCGAGGAAGGGCCCGTAGGGGTAGGCAGGATGACGCTGATCTTGACGTAATGCTAATCGAGAGACTCACAGAACTGGAAGACTATTTTTCTCGCCAAGGCCTGGAGGTTTAAATTCAGATTTTCACAAATCTATTCCCAATAAGTTACCAAATAATGTTGGTTTTAGTATTATTGCCAGCCAGGGCATGGAAAGAATTGGAGCCTCACAGTGTTGTACATGGAACGATTAGCAATAGATGGGAATTTTCTTGTAGCATTTATATTTGAGACTTCAACGGTATTAAGTGCACTGACCCAAAAGATAATGTGAGTGTGTGTGTGAGTGAGTGAATACAAGCACAGTATAGTAAAGTATAGTAAACCTTCACTTCAGCACTTTCTGTTTCCTCACAATGTGACTGCTGCAACTTAGTTGTGTTTCTCAATTTGCGACATGTGGCTAACCAACATGTTCCTTACTGCCATTTTCTTGCAAAAACATAAGTATGGGAAGGATCCTTTGGTTAATGCCCTTCATGGTCTCAGAAACAAGGAGGTGCTCACCTGCCTAGAATTCTTATGACCCATGAAATTGGCAGATTTGATTATATTTGGACAGCTTAGTTTGTCTAGATGAAATTCTGAGGGATTTGCTGCCAAAAATCAAGACTACAAACTATTTACTACGCACAGTGCTGTGATAACTATAATCTTGTGAGATGTTTTAATGTATTTCACCATAGAAATACTAAACTTTGTGTTTCTGCATTTGGTGTTCAATGCTGGGCTGTCACGAATAAGCCATGGCTTTCCCTCGGCCTCCTCACATTTAGCTGCTAGACCGTTTAAATAAACGTTTCCGCTTGTTTGGCGTTGGTTTGAAAGGACTCTCTGAGGAAAACTGAAAATTCTGTCATTTACTCACCCTTCACGTTATCCCAAACCTGTTCAACTGAATGAGATGAAATTATTTGGGTTTTTTTGGGCCATAAAATGAAAGTTAATAAGAGTCCAATGTTGTTTTGAGCATTCTTCATCATTTTGTGTTCCAACAGAAGAAAGTCATGCAGGTTTGGAACGACATGAGAGTGAGGAAATAGTCATAGAAATTTAATTTGAGAACATTTGAGTCCCTTTTTTATTTATGCCATATATTATATGGCCAAGAGAATATGCTGTCACCTTAAACAGGTCAGGTTTGTGACAAAACCCCCATTGCTCTAATGTTAACTGTGAAAACGCTTTTATTAGTCACAAACTTTTGGATTACACTTATCCAAAACGGAGCCAAGTTGTGAAATGTAATGCTTGTTTGTCGTGAATATATGCTTCTTATTTGCAGACTTAATATCAGGTTGACATTAGTGAAGCATTTGGTGAAACCCATCTTTCATTTTACTGATCTGACATTTACTGGATGTTATATGCAGATAATAAAGTGGTGATTTGGCTAGATTGGATGGATTTTTAGTTTTATCATTCCATTGTGTGATATACTGCCGCAACTTTATTCTTATTTTTTTATTTTTTTTGAGGATGAAAGCAAGGAAACATACTTTGTTTTGTTGTGGTGTGTTGTCATATTTGTAGTGATTTTTTTTTTTTATATATATATAAATGTATTTTATGAAAAGCTTTTGCAATCAATTGTTATGTAGCTTTGGACCTTATCTGCACTTCACCCCCAAAGAATCAGCGACCTTTGCCTGACGAGCATCTCTGTGCCAGTTTGTGATGTAACCACATTTCTAAATCAACCTATGTCTTTGAAATTTTAGTATTTTACTTACTGGCCCAATTAAAAATAATAATAGAGCTGATGTGTGTTTTGCTCAATTATGCAGTGAAACCGGCTGTTCGAATTTCTTTTTTTTCAAGATGGAAATATTTTTTATTTGTATTGGTTTTTTTATTTCCATACCACACGTCCTGTTACAGTACATATACTGTTACTGTTGTGCTTCTCTTTGAGCCCACCATCAGACCAACACTAAGTATTGCTTGAGTGCTGTCAATCAGTGTGATTTTATATATATTTTATGAATAAAATGGTGTTAACTAAGACTTAATTATCTTTCTTTTTGATGATGGAAAAAAATCAAAGGAAATATTCATTTTAACTTTCATTAAACAAAATACATTTTATACGTTCTTGTTCTTACCCATGCTGATGTCCAAAAAATATATATTTCAGGATTTATTTTTGTAACTGGCAGTATAACCATACTATTGTTTTGTACTTTATTTTAAATCGAATATTTATTTATTTTGTAAAGAATATTTTGACAAGGGCTGTGGTAACTAACGCTCCATTCCTGTAGATGGCGTCAGTGCGTCTCGTGAAGGATGAGAACACGCATACAAACATCATGGCCAAAGCCACTTTGAGGCAAACCGCCAAGTTTAGCAATTAGCTTGCTAACGCAGTGCTACGCAGGGAAGAAAACGAAGAAGACCAGGAACCGTTTTTTTCGAATGGATGTCTATGGAGAAGAGGCTTCACTACGCTGAATAAACTGCTTTTATGGGAAAACAGCTTATCGTTTAACGAATCAACCGGCTATCGGCTAATCTTCAACATGTTTGCTCATAAACATTCGTTTTGGATTGATCAATTTGTATAGTTTACACCGAAAAAATGCAGATTTTTAAGAGAAATCACGGACAATTGCGCGACAGGTAGAATGTAGTTTACGGCACTTCTCATTCATTTCAATGGGATCCGCAAACAGTGACTGACTGTCGCACAAGGCCAAGCCTCTAATGTGATTGGTAATCAAGGCACACGTGATCCACGTTGGCCGTTACGCATTCTCCAATGGTAGAGCCACGGACCATCGTATCTCCCAATAATAAGACCATCTCTGTCATGGCAGCGCTCATAAGGAGAGTGTTTTTTGCCCACCTGGTAGGCGCGAGAAAGAGCGGGTAAGTGTATTATGTTATTTTGAGTGTTTGTGGAAAAATGTCATTTATACCATACCTTATTCTGTAAATACAGACACGTGCTGGTTTAATTTACGTTACCCCAAAAAGTCGCTGATTGGCAAACCCGTCGAGACGGTTAAAGTGATGTATCTTGAGACCCAGCTGACCTCAGAGCCAAGTCACACGAGGTTGTGCCAACTTCAGCAGGGCAGCATCAACGCAAGGCCTTTCTATAAAGTTTAATTACTTGGGTTTTACTTCTAGGCCCATTTATTATAATTAATACAGGATATGCTGCATATCCTTCATTATGTCTGACTGCTACATTGTGTCTACGCTAGCTGGACGAATTTCAAGATATTTATTCATTTTCCTCACTATTGTTTTACCATTTCTACATAGCGACATTATGAAGTTGTTCATACTGAGACCCTCATAAATGTGCGTGTTGGTTGTGTAGTTGTCGAGTGTTTCATACCAATTGTGTTTGTTTTGTTCAGTTGTCTGCAGAACGGTGGCTTTGGTCTGAGATGGGGTCATCAGAGGTTATTCTCCAAAGGTCAGTCTCAACTCCATGTATTTATTTTTGTTTTTTTTGTTATTGTAATTTGAAACTTGCAAAATCTATGTTTTTATTCATTTATTAGGTAACACTTACTTGAAGGGGAGTACATAACACTGACATGACGCCTTCATAACCATGACATGACGTATGTCTTGATTATGAAGTAGGATTTATGACAACTGTCATTAAGTGTCTTTTGCTCAATAATGACATTTTGAATGCAAATACATTAAGATGTCTTTATGACATATTGACAAACCATAACAATTATAACCTGTCAGTGTCTTTGTCATGACAACTTGACATAAAACTAAGTTAAACTGTCATGTGGTTGGCTTTGACATTGGCCGTCATGAGGCCATTATAACTATGTCATGAATAGTTTTCGTGACCTCAACTACAGTGGTACTAATTGAATTTGTCATTAAAAGGTTATAATGGCTTCATGACAGTCAATGTCAAAACCAACCAACCTGACAGTTTAATGTAACATTAACCAATAAAGCTAGGTGGTTTCATAAGTTTAATAATTAATCTTTGCATTAAAAATATCATAACTGAGCGAATGACACTTCATGACAGTTTTCACAAACATACATAAAACTTTCTTCTTATTCATAACATATGTCATGTCATGATTATGAAGGTGTCATGTTAGTCTTATGCACACCCCTTCAAGTATCCATTTATTCATCCCAATTTCCATGATCAAAAATGCTATCTTGGGTAAGCAAGGTGACACAAATGCCCAAAAATGATCATTCTTTCATTACTCGTCCCCATTTTGTTCCTAACCTGTAAGATTTTCGTACATCTTCGAAACACAAATGAGGATCTTCCTGATGAAATCGGAGAGCTTTCTGTCCCTCCATTGACAGCTAAGCAACTACCAATTTGACACTTCAAGAAGTTAGGGCTTAAATTGATTGTAAAACTAACTCGTATCGAATTGAGCAGTTTATTCCACATTTTCTGAAGAGATTTTATGTGATGAACAGATTGAATTTAGGCTTTTATTCACATTAACATTCGTCAACTTGCACATCAGTTGTGGTAAAAGGAAACTTATGCATGTTTGCTTTAAGGGGGAGAACCATTGAGGTTTATTCTCATGTGTTACCCAGCAAGTTTGATCTTCAGTAAGTGGTTTGTTCGTGTGTCAACTAGCAGGTTTGTTGCTTTTTGATCCATGTATGTATGTGAATTAAATCTGTTCATCATATGAAGCGATTGTGTCTCTAGAAGTAATCTTCTCAAATCTTATGGATTAGATTTACGATCTGCCCAATAACCTCTGGTCTAGAAGCAGTTTTCTCCATAATAGCATATTGGCGAAATGAATTTGGCAAATGATCCGATGTGCATAAATCACACCATAGGCTATACAGACTCGTAGAGGTCTCTATAAATTAAAATAACATCTTGCCAAAAATATGAGCCTTTACTGTCATATAATATCAGGGATATTCTCTCTGCATTTAAATGCGGTTGTCTCTCCTGAAAATCTGCTGTGTATACGTGGCCGTTGGTCCTCTTAGCAGCATGAAAAATACAACCTATTCAAATTGCGAATGGATTATTCACAGAAAGCGAGCAAAGAGCACTCCCTTAATAACTGAAGCTGTCGAGCACTCCCTTAATAACGGACGCTGTCAATCACTTCATTGTCAGCTTAGTTGACTGACAAAACAAGTTGTGATAAGAAACCTTTGAATGTTTTCAGATGAACACGAGTCGAAATAGTCTTGGCTATTGGATCCATGGTCCATCTGTGCCCAACCTGCACCGCAAATGACAAGATAAATATTATTCTGTCTGTTACATTAAATATTAGCTGTTCATCCACCCGTGTGCAGGCGCATATCTTTGTTTGTGTTCTAAAAGCGACAAATGTTTCTATTTACAAGATGTGAGGGCCGAGTGGAGGTGTAGAAGCTACTGCAGGCGGGTGTTTTGGAAGTTCAAAGATAAATCTGGATCAGAGGCAACAAAAGAGGACGGATGGCACAGGAGAGGATGAGGATGAGTTTAAGGTAGCATGGTCACAAGTAGGAAAAGTGAAGGGGAAAGTAAAGAGTTCTAACAAGTCAAGTCACATTTATTTATATATTATGCTTTATACAATACAGATTGTATCTTTACAGAGATAATAGGAAAATTATACATTTCGGCTGAAGTCAGTTATTCATCAATATTTATTATATCATCAATTATTAAATTAGTTCATTTCATATATAAAGCAGTTCTTCAAAAAATGATGTTATTGTCCAGCTCAGTTCTCATACAACAGCTTTAGTGCATTTAGATCAGTAATATTGTTGAGTATTAAGTGTCCCCAATTTAGCAAGCCAGAGGCGACAGTGACAAGGAACCCAAACTCCGTCAGGTGACAGAATGGAGATAAAAAAACTTGGGGCCAAGTCAGTGGGGCCAGTTCTCCTCTTGCCAATGAACAAACAGTATGGTTCTGATTCAGGCTGCATCACATGGCAGAATTCTGATTGGGTTTGGTAGCATTCAAATATTTGTCCAGTTCCTTTTAGGGGTGCTCCGATCAGGATTTTTGGGGCCGATCACTGATTACTGGAAGCTGTATCACCCGATACCGATCACCGATTACAGGGTCTATTTGAAGCCTTCTATTTATCTTGTAGCATTATTATTAACTATATTTAACAACAATGTACATTAAGTATTATATTTAAGAGAAGACAATGTATCATGAATTTACAGCTGTGTATTTATTTGCAAGCAACATGTCCAGCATATTATTCTGGCAGCTTGTGCTTGGTTATTGGGAGCAGCTTAGGACTTGACATACAGTACTGTGCAGAAGTCTTAGGCACACTAGTATTTTCGCCTCAAAGAAATGGTTTTAAGCCAGTTATTGATATGTATTTTGTTGTAGTGTCTCAGTAGGAAATATCAGTTTACATTTCCAGACATTAATTTTGCCATTAATTGTAATAATCCAGTGAAAGTTTTGAATGCACAAGGATTCTGACAACTGCCAATGCTCCACACGGAGGTCGGATCTCACCATCATCGAGTGCATCTGAAATTATATGAAGAAACAGAAAAAACAGAGAGTAAGACCAGAAGAACTGCGGCAACGTCTCGAAGGTAGTGCCTGCCTGCCTGCAAAGCTACAGTACTGTGAAAAAGCACTTGCGTAAAAATGCTGTAAATGAGAATGTTTTCAAAAATATTGTCATAATCATGAATGGATTTTATTTATCAATTCATTTTATTAGTTAACTATTATTAAGTGTTATTAACTTTTAACTGTTAACTATATCAAATCAATAGGTGTTTAGTACCCTTTACGTTTAAAACAGCTTTTGTCCAGGTATTGCACATAGTTTTTAGTTTTGCAGGTTTTTTCAAGCGTCTTTGGAAACGTTGCCGCAGTTCTTCTGGTCTTAGTCTCTGTTTTTTCTGTTTCTTCATGTAATTTCAGATGCACTCGATGATGGTGAGATCCGACCTCCGTGTGGAGCATTGGCTGTTGTCAGAATCCTTATGCATTCAAAAATTTCACTGGATTATTACAATTAATGGCACAATTAAT